TACTGATTTACTGGTAGTCACGAGAACAATACTTAATTCGAAAAATAAAGTATAGTAGTCGATTTTTATATGTTAAATCCAATGAAAACGTCAGCTATACTCATATCATTGTGTGAAAATTCTTCTTCTAGCAGTCCTTCATCACTTTAAACGAAATTAGGTGAATACATCTCATTTTACTGATTTACTGGTAGTCACGAAAGCAATACTTAAATCGAAAAATGTTATATGACAGAGAAAGGTTTCGCCAGTCCTCTGGAAGATGTCCATTCTGTTCGTTCATCGGTATGAAGCTTTAAGCTCACGGTCAAATTTTCCTGATTTAAAGTGACTTGAAAAGATCGGGGCATCGTCGATTTCAAGATAATTCGTTTGACGAAAAGTGAAGTTCTGAGATGATGCTCGGATTGAGGCGAAGTCATCAATGAGTCCTTATCGAGAATGGGAAGCATGTTTGGCTTTACGTTCATAGCAGCAAATTAACGCTTGACTTGATAGTGGCACATTTTCGTTCATGAGGATGAATGCTAGCCTTTATTTATATTCGATCTGTGAATTCTTCTATCTATGCTTATTATATACATTATATGTAACAGACATTATTTTTTCATGAGATGTATTTATCCTATTTCGTTAAGGTGAGGAGGGATTGGGATTTCAATTTTCCCACAATCATATAGGTAAACCTTATGTTTCTATTGGAGTTCGCATAGCCTGGCTTCCCAACAGGTATTCTCATTTCAGCTGGAAACCTGATCTATGTCTCATCAGCACCTCCAATGGGACTCGAACTTGACTTGTGATAATGCAGTGTGTACTCTAGACACGTTGACCACTACGCCAGAGTGCCACAATTGCCCTTAGGCCAGAGAATATATGTGGATTTCAAGGAAAGCTAAGCCATTTTCTATATCACAATCTGTGGTGGGATTGCCAATCAAGGAAAGTTGTATCTGCTATAGCAATTGACTACATTACTTATTTTCCGTTTATGAGTAGAGGATTGGCTTATTGGTTTCACTTTCATTTTAAGTGTAAATGTTTGGTGAAGAGATTTGAAGGTCGATCCCATCGTGTTTTTTGACGATTATTAGTAAATGCTGGTTTCTGGCTCTGACGATGACCATCACATGACGGTTGTAAGCTCAGCACGGATGGATCGGGTCGCAGGATTATGAGCCAATGTCTTCTTCTTCTTCCAATCCAGCATTCACAAGAATAACTGTTTCTCGAATTTGTGTTATTTATGATTTATTTTTTGTTTTACACTTCATTTTTCTACCCATTTATTTCCCCGTCCCTGCATGTGAATCAGCTGCGTCTGTACGCAGTATTTTTGCGACGTCTGATCGCCGAGAACCAGGAATTCCGCATCTTCGAGCCCACCAACGAGGCTCTGGAGGAGGCCAGGCAAGAGGTGCTGCTGAAGCGAAGCAAAGCGGCGGCCAGGCCGACACCCACCGACACGGGCCCAGCCCAGACGGAGGACGAGTCAGCGACCAGAGTCGTCTTCACTTCGGTAGCCGACAGCGAGTCTACTAGCACGGCCGAAGCAGCCAGGATCGACCCCCTCGACCGTGTCTGAGACGGTCCCCATTTGCGAGAGCACCAATTGAAGGCACTGCCATGGCTTCTGTTCGTCTCATCTGTACTTCTTCATCTCTTCTGCAGCTCTTTCTACGCCGTCTTCGGCCGTCTCAAACTTCATTGTTCCAGTCAAACGGACTCGTTGTGACCCAGCCGGTTGCTTCCAACGGCCTCCATCTCTCCCCTCCCTCTGTGCTCTCGCCGGTAGGGTGGGGCATCGGGTGGAAAAATGATAAATAGGGTTGCAATGGGGACTTGGGCAAGGGCCCTCTAACGTCAACCAGGCCCCTGATGGGCTGTGCCCCTCTTCCATTTCGCTATGCGAGTAGATCTGACCCCTTCTTATGCGGTCCGGCTGCCAGACTCACCGAACCCACACGAACGCCCAGCACAAGAAGCTAGATCTGAATGTGGTCTACTCGAACTGTCTTGCTAAAATGAGCAGTTGCGTCTCCCGAAAGGAAAGAGCACAGGCGATCAGACATCGCCGACACTCTCAGTTATACAAACCGCTTTTCTATACACTTCCTTGTATCCCTTTTCCCTAAAATATTGTCTTCCTTGTGTAATTGGTCATATTGCAGAAAGGACTCTCCCCACGAGCTCCTTCAAGCACATTCTTTATTCCAACTTTCAAAACTCCAGATTTCCGTCAGAAATGCCACACACATCACCGATGTTCCGTGGCTGCGTTTTTACTGCTTTCTTCAGTCTCCAGCTCTTGTAGAGCGCTCTAAACCACAAGGCCGCCCATTGTGGTAATAATAAAACAGTCTATAAACAAATTTTCGAGATTACCAAAAGAGCATATAAATGAAATTTCACAGAGCCTTGCTTTCCAAAAAAGTATTCTCATTCCGTCCGGAGTGGACTGCAGTTTCGACCTCATTGGAACTTGTCTCCTCAGCTCACCCAGCGGGACTCGAACAATAACAGTGCCGTGTTATCACGACACGTTTGCTACTAAAGCGCACTGTCATGAGACCTCTTGGGTCACAGGGTGGATGTAAATTTCAAGGTAGGCCAGGCTTTTTTCCATTTCACATTCTGTGGAGGGATTGTCGATGAAGCAAAGTTCCATCATCTACAGCAATCGACGGCAGTATCAATTTTTATTTATTTTAGTAGCTTTTCGAAACTACGGCTATATTGCATATATGAGATGTATTCATCCTATTCCGGTTGCGATAAAGTGACTTCATCACATATACATATATATATATATATATATATATAGTTGACGCTACTTATTTTCAGTGTAAGTAGTTTTCAAGATTGCAAGTAATTCTTGAATTTGAGTTTAGTCACTCTAAATCGCAAGAGGTGAAAACTCTACTGTCAGTTCTTAAGTAGTAAGGTAAAGATGGTGTTGCCTTTTGTTTGGCTGCAGTCTCCTTAAGCTGCATACAGTTGATGTTGACCTCGTTTTTGCAACTTGGTCGGAGAGAAAGGGAGACCTTATCGAACGTACATAGTACTCTAGCCTCGAGAAGTCATGATGATTTTCAGCATCGGACCAGTGACTTGGTACATTCCCAAACAATTTGCTGACCTCGTCAGTGGGAGACGTCTGAAAGTCTGAAAGTGACAAGTGAAGGCAATCGCTATGGCCAATTTTCTGTCCTACCCTTGTGGCATCCCTCCTACTCCCTTTGTTCGTGCTTAAGCGCCAAGTCCCTATCTCTCAACTCCACTTCATACAGCCATCTTACAAATTCACATCATTTTGTGGCCTAGTATACTCCAAGTTCGTCACTCTACTCGAATTTAGTGGGCGTTTTTACCTTCACTATCCGTTTCAGATGCTGTTCTCTGGGCTTCTGGGACCCAATCAACACTCTCATTCAGCCACCCTCCACCCCGCTTCTCAGCTACTCCCTGCTGTAT